GTTCGTTACAGACCATGCGGCGGGTTAACGTGCAGGTTCGTTATGTGAAAATGTCTCTTACCTGGGATCAGCCTGGTTTTTGTCCAGTAGCCTCCTGCTTCTGACATGTGGGGAGATGACAGTGGCACTGTGTGATGAGGTAGTAGGTTGTATAGTTTTAGGGTCATACCCACACTGGGAGATAACTATACATCCTACTGTCTTTCTCAAAGTGGCGGCAATTCTTCTGAATCTGCTGGAGCCCCCTACTGCCTGTGAATGAGTTCTGCAAAAATATACAATTAATATATGCTCTGTATGGTATGTATGTATTTATCTATGTAAATATTTGTTCAGTTCAGTGCATGTGAAAATTTTTTTCCACACAAATTCACTGAAATATTGTCCCAAATGCTCAGGCAGTGTGAGGTAGTAGATTGTATAGTTCTAGGGCAGTGATTTTGCCCTGTTTGGAAGATAACTATACAATCTATTGCCTTCCCTGAGGAGCAGAGAAGCATCTCTCCCATCTGTACTTTTCGCTCCAGTAGTGTTCTGCTGATTACACAGCGTCAACCATCTTAGTTCCAGTTTCCTCACATCCTTGTTCAGAGAGACACGCACGAGCAACGTGAGAAAAGATATAAATTTGCGTGCAGGACGGTGGACAACAGCATGTCAGTGCATCCTTGTGAATAACTTGAATGCACCAGCTTGTTGATAAGCCCGCTGTTGGTGCATGTAAGGGATGGTCAGTTGGGCAGATTAGTTACAGAAGTGCTACTGAAATGAGTAACTGGGTTTGAAAAGCCCAAAGAGATGAGGATGTAGCCCGCGGTGGGGAAACGTAGGAGTTGTGCTAATTGCTGGTGCTTATTCCAGTAGGGAGCCAGAACAGGGACGGCACGGAGGTGGGTGACCTTCGTGCAGTGGCCGGCCTCTGGGTGCAGCCCATCGACAAGGTTGGGTGTTTTTACTGCACTCAGTAGAGGTCATGTGGAGAAAACGAGAAAAAGACGAGGCAAGGGCGAGTCACATATTGCGTCTGACTTCAAATGGAGTGCAGCGAATTAGAGCCTCGCGGCCAGGTCTGGCTGTGGGTAGCTGGGTGTGACTCTCTCCGGCTGGGAGCACAGCTCTGACTACAGCATTAGCACAAAGGTACGACCTTGACGCACCTCTCTCTCTCTCTCGCTATCTCTCTCCCTCTCCCACACCTTCCTCTGCACAGAGCACTCCTAATCTACTTCAGCACACTCGTGTTCTCAGAAAACCGGTCATGTTCACAGGACAACGACGCACAGAGGCTGGCTAATGGTCAGACGATTGACATGGGGACCCCTGGGTAGAGGTAGCAGATTGTATAGTTGCAGGGCAGAGATTTTGCCCCAGTGGTGATAACTATACAAGCTGCTGCCTTTCTTAGGGGTTCACGAAGGCAGCACGTCTGAGTCACCCCTGCTGCAGAGGACCACGTGTGATGTGAGATATATGTAAATATATATGCATGCCCTGGGGCAGCCATTCCAGGTGGCTTTGCCAAGCCTCCCCAGTCCCTTAATTTCTCTTAGTAATGTTTTGAAATATAAGGGGTAGTGCACATTAAAGCATTGTTTGCCCTAACCAAACTTCAGAATAGCTGTAGTCACCTAGCATGTATCGTGCACTTACTGTTACACTGGACTGACGGACATGGCACAGGACTGTAAAGAATGACTCCGTGTGAATTGCGGCGAAGTGTTCTGTTCATGCCGTATCAGGTTTGTGTTGTTTTCATTAATAAACATCATCAGCACTGCTTGAATCTGAATGCTGTGTTTTTTTGAACGTGCTCGGTATCATGCTCAATATTCAGTGCTAACCACGGAGCCGCCGTTTCGCCCACTTATTCGCTTTCAGTTATGAGTGACGCTTCACAGCAGCACTGCAGGTATGGGCCACTGAACCTGACTTTTGTTTTTGATGTACGCAAATTTGAACCATTCCGAGAAAAAAATCTACAACCGTTAATGCAAGTGTTTTTTTTCGCAATATTTTTTTTTCTGATATGACAAATTACTTTTTCAGTACAATATTATTTGTAGTCAGTAATGCTAATGTAACTTTATGTTTGAAAGATCATATCAGAAGCAGCCTCAGTATAGTTGGTACAAAAGTGCTGGTATAGGAAGGTCACAGTTTCATAGGAAGGGTTGGAGAAGCAAGCAAGTTTCTCACCCTCACTGCTTACAAACTGCCTTGGTTTTTTTTAAAAGAGTATAAAATTTCTTAATTAGTTTTTTTTGTGCTATTCAGCCGCTGTTAATAATTTTATGGTGCTGCAAAACCGTAAAAGACACAACGTCAGAATATTATTTGAGAATCGAAAAATAAAAGATGTTCAAAATCGATTTTAATTCGCGTTTGCATCTCGCCCTCTTGTGGACAAACACAAAAATTACATTTAAATGCCTCTTCCTTTAGATCAGTAGTCAGACATTTGTTAAACATACGCAGGAGGCAGTATCGAAGTAGTTTTTAAAGTATTTAGCTGAACCTAAGATTATAATACACAACTTAACATGCTTTTAAAAAATTCTGCTAAATGAACTTTTAACAGTTCTGCTGTTTGTGCCCGATGTACAGGCGTCTTGGTCTTAACTGGAACTGCCACTAGACACTAACAGCATGTGGGGAAAGATATAGCAATGTATCGGTCTTCTCTCCCAAAGTAATATATAGTGCATTTAAATCTCACAAGAGTTAAATGTGATTTTAACATAAATGCGGAAATATATGTTCCGGAGCCCCGGTACCAGAAATAGGATGGACTGTATGTCTCCTGTGGATTACTGAACAAAACACAAGTATTATTATTTGAATACAAAATCATAAAAGATTTTTTTTTAATGAAATAAAGATTAGATTGTTATTTTCTATGTATGGATTAATATAGTTTTAACATTCTATCTTTTGTCATATTTCTAGTGTTGATATTTGATATATTACAGAAAAATATCAAGGAAGATTCCTGGTTAATATAAGTTTTAATGGATAATTACCTAAATGTAGAAGTCATCGGGCTCCATACTGCCCTCTGCTGACACTGAACTTATATTTTGACTGAAGATCGTGGCCAGCTAAGGTCTTGCTCTGGTGACACTTGACTTGAGGGGGCACAAATACTTAGTAACTCAGTTACTAGAGTGCAGACCATGAACAAATATAGTAGCTACTCCAGGTACTTGAGATAAAAGATGCATCATGATTCATTAATGATAAACCAAACGAGGTAAGTATTTCACTTGTGTTACGCATTACTTGTTCTTTCAGTAGTTCCTTGGTAGTTCACAAAGTTTACAGAATTAACAGACATAGTAACAAATATAGTAACTGCTTGGGATGAAAGTTGCATCATGATTCATTAATGATGAACAAATATGAGATCAGTATTTAACTTGTTACTTGTTCTTTCAGTAGTTCCTTGAGTACTCCACAAAGGTTTACAGAATTAACAGATACAGTAACAAATGTATAAATTTCTCAAGAAAAGATGTCACAATTCATTGATGAATGAACATGAGACAAGTGACTAACTAATGATTAGTTTGTAGGTAATTAATACATAAATAATAGTATAACACTACATTATTGTGCCCACATGTAGATGTGGAAAGAAATCAACCAACAGCCCACAGCTTATCGGAATAAACATGCACCATTTGAAATACGTGAGAATGCTGAAGTAAATATTTCTGGTCCCCCATTAAGACTGCATACAGAAAAAAATGTTTTAATCACAGAAAATACTTAAGTGTGTTTGAAATGCACATTGGACACTTAAGTGAGGTGTGGCTGTTCGAATTAACCCCTGATACATAAGATGATAACATCTGTCAGTTGTGAAGATCTGGTCACTTTTTCTTTTCTCACCTTCCTGCAAGCCACTATATGTCTGTATATGATATTGAGGACATCGATAATACAAAGGCACACATCCCCTGCTCTTCTACTGTGGGCAAGCATGAGGAGAGCTGTACTTAATAGGCAACTACAAACATGTATACAGACATGGGAGGAATGAAAAATATACATGTAAAGTAGTATGTGCTAATTATTTTTATCGGCGGTGAATATATATATATAAAACAGCAATTTTTTGGTTGGCATTGTGAGTGGAAGTCAAAGAGTGATGAAGCATTTAATAGAGCAGTATATATCACCTCCTCATAAGCACAAGTTAGCAGATGTGTGCATTGAAACGAGCCAACATCCATTCAGTGAATACCGTAAAGAACAATGTAGTGCAAACATGCAATAATACAAGAGTGCTGATTGGATAAATAAGCTGCGGGTTCTGATTAGCTGATGGGACAGTGCTGAAGGCTGAAGAGTCTGCATTCATCTGAAGCTTCTAGCTCCTTCTCTCAGTGCTCATTTGACTTTAGAACCAGGTGATTCAGGGGTGCCCCAGGAAAGCGTATTGCATCGGGCACAACCCAGACCAATCCAGACCAGCTCAGACCAAACCAGACCAGACCAATCCAGTTGTGTTCCAAATTTTTTTTGGGCCCCCGTGACTCATTGAATTGTCCTAAACCACCATCCAAACACTGCCCCCCCCCCCACACTCTTTACAGCAGCACTGAAGTGAGTATTACAGTATGTGGGAGCAGTGCCAGCTTTTGAAAGCTAAGCTAATGCAGTACTGTCAGGTCATTATGGGATGGCAGCAAGTGATGAGGTGGGGCCATTTAATTGGACCTGCACCTATGGAGTAAGTACTATGGGTTTGTGGGTTTGCCTCCAGTCCTGCATGCTATTAGGTTCATAATCACACACACACACACACACACACACATATACATATAACCATTCAAATATTTATGCTATCAGTCAAAATTTTCATTAAATACAACTTGTAGTTCTCACACCATATAGTTAATAAATTATAAATCATTTTTGCTACAGGCTTGATTTGCTTTCTGGGTTTTTAAATTTTGTTTTGGAATTTAATACATTTGTGTAATTCTATACAGTAATTTCCTTAAATGTAACTACAATCACGTGACCTATGCGATTTCTTATTACTTGCGTTAAAGTAAACGCTCTGGAGGTACTAAAAGTGGTCAATTTTGCCCTCCAGGTGGCGCAGTCACAAAAGGTATAATCACAAACCTATGTAAAAGACAACAAAAGATGAAATGTTAATTTTCAGTACACTTAGAAGTTGTCAATGATGGTATACAAATGTTTCACTTTCTGAGGATTTTGTTTGAGATTTTTAAGTTGTCCCTTTCTGGCTTATCTTCATACCAGAGATTAAAATCTTCAACTTTATAACTGTATAATATGCAGTAACGTTTATAAATGGAGACATTTTATAGTGATACAAAACTGCCGAAAAGATGTTGATGTTTTGTGATTATAGACATATAGAACTACACTTTTGTATAAATGTCCAGAAGCTAATTTGAGAGTTCATGGGTCGATTAAGTTGCCTGTGGGCCACTTGTCACTGTTATCGGACCATGGGAGTTACTGCTAATAGAATTATCAGTATCACAACATTGCAATCTCGCCTCATAAATCAAGTGCGCAGAAAAAGCTAAAATAGTATTAAAAGTCACCCAAGTGACCTCTTGGAAGAAGGGTGGAGCGTCTGAGAACTGGAAAATAGATAAAATTATTCTCTAAAGGAAAGAGTGTCGCATCCATAGAATGCAATCTTATTTAAGGAGGAGTGTTTCCTTTCCGTAAGCTTTTCCCTCCCTTTCATTCGATCATCAGACTTAAATATAATGCTACAGAGATAAGCAAAGGAAAAAGGTCCGTGTGCTGCCTCCGCGTCCCGTATCAGCAGAGATCCCAATGCCCGAAGGGCCCTTTTGATTTTGATTTTTGATTCTTTCATTTTAAGACGACTGCTTTCATCACATATTTAATGCGACTAATTTCCCGATTTCCATCGAAATCTCCGCGATGCTGGTCGGGTCGCTGGGTTTGTTCTCAGTACAATGGTAAACGTCCTCACCAGTATTATTCATGAGACTCAAGAGATGGGCTCTGTTTCTTCCCAGAACACGCCCTGGCAGATGAAGTAGATATAGAACCTGTGGGAAGTGCAGAAACTGTAAGCTTGCTGCGCAGGTCGCGCAACTGTCTGTTAGAGTTACCTGCGACATGCCGTCGAGTGTCACATAAAGCCCACAAAACAGCCATCCCAGGATATAAACACTGCTTTTCGAGAGAGGGATCTTCACCATGCGCCGCTGATCTTTATTCTGTCTGTACCATAACATCGGAGTTCACTTTTTTGCATTTGTGTCAGGCTGTCGAACCAAGAACATTTACGTGCAAATAATTTCTTCTCCAGTCATTCATAAAAAGGGGGGAAAGTGTAAACATCATGAGCAGGAAAACGCGACGTTGGATTTTCCATATTTTCCTTTGCCTGGGAATTGTGTATATGAAAATTGGGTGAGTATCCAGTTTAAGTCTTAGCGTGTTGAGACCTGATAATGCTTTACTTTCAGAAGTAGATGTGAGATTCTGGGCGTTAAAAGGGACGTTTACAGCACCATTCCTACTATGCCCAATAACAACAGTTTGAAGAATTTAGGAAAACAATCTGTCTTAAAAATAGCCCTGCGTTCTTGTAGCAGAATATGCAAATGAATCTAAGTAAAAATAATTCTATGAAGTACTGTGCAAGGTTGAAACCAGTGGTTGAAAATGAGAAAGAGACAGGCAGATATGATAAAGACTAGGTAGAAAGTAGTGATAATCACAATGTTATCAAATTATTTTGAGCTAGAACATTGTGAAAATTGGAAGTTCAGATTTTTTTTCAGTAACAGCGAGAAAGTATTTTGAATGAATGAGGCCTATTTACATGTCTTACAAACCAACAGGCTATTTCGCAATATGGTGACATAAAATACATTCTGTGCAATCTCTAAACATAGTTCTAGCTCTTTTATAATTGATTAACAACTAAGCAATTCTAAAATTAAAGGCAGCTCCTTCCACGAAACCGTGTGTTTTTGCTTAACTTAAGTCCATAGAGTGTGTGGTCCATGCCACACTGATCTATCGTGAGCATGTTATCCGTGTTAAATCTAGATGGTCCGATTTATCGTTATCCAAGTTAAAGCCATAAGGGCAGGATACTCCTTGCACTTGATTTAAATCAATATGTCCTATAAACACGTGGATACACTTTTCCGATTATATTTTTTGGAATAAAACAGCGTTATAGTTCTCCACATTTTGCTCGTGATGAGCGAAAGTCGGAACACGAAGAAAATAAACGAAAATTCAGCGTTTTATATAGTGCAGCGCACATTAACATACAGGGACGAATGTTATAAAAAATTGTCTCATTATATATAGGCCTAATACAATACTTTAATGAAACAGGCATCCAATCAGTTTAAGCAACAGGTATTTCAATAAAACTACGCTATCCAAGATACTTAATGTTTTCTTTCAATTACCTGTCTATGGCATTTTACAGGGGCTTTTCGTCGGTGGTTGCGCTGGGAGCCAGTATAATCTGTAACAAAATTCCCGGGTTGGCTCCTCGTCAACGGACTATCTGTCAAAGCCGACCAGATGCTATCATAGTGATCGGAGAGGGAGCCCAAATGGGGATCAACGAGTGCCAGTTCCAGTTCAAGAACGGACGCTGGAACTGCTCTGCGCTCGGGGAGAGGACCGTCTTTGGAAAAGAGCTGAAAGTGGGTATGTTACAAATCTGCTCAGCCTCGACACAAATAATAGCTAACTATGTTCATATTGTTATGCAACAGTCAACAATTATTAGGCCCATTATTATTATTATTATTATTATTATTATTATTATTATTACGTGTTTTGCCGTTGCACCTCACTCAAGTTTGATCCTACAATTTTCAGCCAAACTAATATTGATGAGTAACGGAGTGGTTTACCGTTTGTGGGACAAGCTGAAACAACTGGTGAGACGCGCTAGAGAGAGTAATATACCTATTATCTTGTGTCATGCGCAGTACGTATTTTTATTGCTATTACATCCCTTTAATTAAGCCCTAAATCTCATAACTCACTGCCGTTTTGACATCCTGGTGTTTATATCCACAGCCTTTTCCATTACAGCCTACAAGAAAGATTGGTCAATGGGCAATGAATCAGAATGGGATTCGCTGAGTTTTATTTATAAAGACAGATAATGGCATACTTCAGTGAAGTTAAGAGTCATATTTACCCATTCACGTGAAGTGAAACCACCTGTTTGAATAATGATTTTTGAGGAAAATAATAGGTAGTGTCGCAAGGATTAAGGATTCAATAGAAGCAAACACGTTTCGAAAAGCATATACTGACTTCATGTATTAAAAAAAAAAAAAAAGAAGAAGAAAAAAACTTGGTCAGTATTTCTCACTTTTTTGTCGGCTTGCAGTTCGACCATTTAGGATTTAAATAAATACATTAAATGCAATAAACTGTTAAAATCTTGTTTATGTGCTGCGGCAGTGACTTAACCACACTAAATACGTTGCAGGGAACAGGACTGGGCATTTCAATGCGGAAACACGTAAACTTACAGCAGAATCGGCGGGAAGCGTTTGGCTTGACACGCCATGCCTCTTACCTCATATTTCCGTCACGACGTCGGTCAAATGTGCATCCGTGCAAGAATTTGGGGAAATGTTAAAGAATCTTTCAACCATTAACGAAAAGCTTAACTCTTCTTGAACTGAAAAAGTAACTTAAACGGCAGTCAGTCTTATATATTTGTACTTCATAATATTTATTTATATAACATTTTCAATCAGTTAAGGAAATTGCAATAAGCCCCTGTTAAGTTATGAGTGTTTTTGTCGGTTATGTATACATTTTGGCAGGGGAGTATATTGATGAGCGTTTACTGAAGTGTGAAGAATTTTTTGTGACAAAATGAAATCCTTAATTTATTAAAGCTAGTTGGAAGTTATCTCCGTGAACTTCTGCAGGGCATTTTCCATTCACCACAAAGTTCTCTCTGTTCACCTCTTAGAAGAACTGTGGAACACCCTAAAAGCTTGTAGAACCTCTGAGTGTAAAAGAATCTGTTGCTTTTCGATTCTCATTCTTTTTTCAATGAAAGCTTGAGGTCTTATCAGGCAACTTTATACCTCTACTTTTTTACTTCTGCTGAACTGAAACTTTGAAGATGCAGTAACTGGCCTTTGAGGTGAAGATTACTGTGAATATAAGCATAATGAGAAGATAAACAGATCAATGCAGTGGACAAAGTATGTAGGAAGGGTCTACACCAGGGGTGTCAAACTCCAGTCCTGGGGGGTCGTGGCCCTGCACATTTTTGGGTTTCCCCTCATTTAACACACCTGATCTTGAACTGAATAATTTGTGGTGGAACAGGGAAAGAACTAAGCTACACTGGGCTCCGGCCCTCCAGGACTGCAGTTTGACACCCCTGGTCTACACAGATATTGCACTGATTTGAAATGTGTGTTTTTTAAACATGTGTGCATGTGCATAATTCTATTACAGGTTCCTCCAACATAGTAAGGGCAGTTTTTGGACCGTGCTGGTTCCACTGAGCCAGCGGCACGTTGGGGAATGGCCCCACACAGGGTTTGGAGGAGAACCACAGGTCTTGGGTTGGTGGGAGCACGAAACTGGGACTGTTGTGTAGTTGGAGGTGGCTGACGGTAACTCAGGCGACCTGCACTGTCTGGCAGACACATAGAGAGTCATAATCGACATGCTTCTCCCGCTCTCCCCTGGCCGCGCTCTCGAATCCAGGCAGCACTTCAAAGATTGTGCACTGAGCCCTGCAGTAACACGGTAATCTGCGCAGACTTGCACATGGCACTGAGGGTAAACTCATATTTTATTCCTGCTCCTCAGACAAGCAAGTTTTATGAGTCGCAGAAGCCTCTGTGATCAGGCAATGGGCCCTTATTTCTCCATAAGTTAACATGAGTGAATTTACTCCATATATAATAAGAAACAGCACGCTATATGCTTGTAGTATGCTTGTAGTGTGATGGTAATAAGGTATGCAGTGGCCTATTTGGTTGACCGTCCCTGCTTGTGACACCCTTAGCCATTTGCCAGTGAGTGTGTTGTGCTTAGTGGAAGGATCTAGGTGCCTCGCTTCAATTGCTGTCCTATGCTGATGACCTGAAGGTAGACAGCCGTGATAACCAGATTGGTCTCACTGGCCCCACCGGCTATTGTCTGTGCGGCCGCTGAAGGCCTGTGAGATGAATGGCATTGTTCATAGCGGGTGCGTGCGGGTGAGGGGTGCTCATTGCAGCATGAGATTGAGAAATGTGCCACTGCAATTGTGGGCCTGCATTTGATGTATAATCAGATTCTGTGTGTGTGTGTGTGTGTGTATATATATATATATATATATATATATATATATATATATATATATATAGAGAGAGAGAGAGAGAGAGAGAGAGAAAGTGAGAGAGAGAGAGGGAAACAGAGACTTGCGTAGGTATGTAGTTATGACTATATTTCTTGTGTTATTTTTACCTTGGAGGTGAATGGTTTTTCTGGGCTCTCTTGTTTAACTACACTCCTGAATGTGCATAAAATAGTTCTCCTGCTAATGGCATAAATGCCTCAAGTCCAGACAGGTACACTTTCTTAGGAGTTCACATGAACCTGTTGCATTTGCAACAGCAGCAGAAAGACTTTTAAAGCAGAATGTTTGGTTACTCCTTCAGATGTCTTAATTGAGAATCTCGGGTCAAGACAATCATGTTCGACTGACTTTTTAAATCGGTAGCGCGGGTTTTTGTGTACATTGATTTGAACAGCTATATTATGTATTCGATAGGATGGAGTTTGAAGGTTTTTGCCTTGTTTTGCTGCAAAAGTTTAGTGGTTTTGACAGTTTGGAGCAGAGAGAGTTAGCAATCACAGACACACCTTCTACACTGGCATGGTTCCCATGCAATTCATAAATCCCCCTTTGCATAATTGATGCTTAAACCTTTTTTCAGATTTCAAGGGCACTCGTCCAAGATGTTTATCGAAAGCAGGTTAGCACATAACTCAGGTTTAGGGGAGGAACCAGGAATCTCTTCATATTGTTTCAGGTAGAGCCGTGCTTCAAGTAACACAATCATTATCTAATTAAATTTAGCTATTGAAGGACTAATGTAGAAATGCACATCATTCAGCAGTATCCTAGAACAAAAAGGGGTTTATATTCAAATTTTTGCTTTCATTTTGTTGAAACATGCTTGAAATGTGACTTTATGTGACCAACTATTGTGGACTTGAAGTACAAAGTGAGTAGCATTATATTATTGTAAATTTGAACGGAAAGTGGAACGAATCCCTGGATTTTGAGGCAACGATTTCCATACTCATACTTAAGTCTAAAAAATTTTGTTGTGGAAGACTTTGCAGCCAGTGTTAAAAAATAAAATAAAACAGGCATTTATATTACCTGAATCACTGAGGCAGTGAATTATTTGGAAATGAATATGAATGACTCGTTTGTACCTGATGAGTGTAAATATGTGATTTTACGAACACCTGTCCTCCTTATGAGAGTGGAGGCCTGGCCGACCACACTGCTACAGACGCGCCTGTTTTTCAGCTATAGGGAAATCTGCGTCTGTCATTGCCTTTGATGGCCTGCCGGTAGCAGGCAGGCACATAAACCACTTCTCGAAAGGAATGCCGTGCATGTCATTTCATCGCAGCTGGTCCACATGCTTTCTCACATTTTTTTCAAGCGCTTTTTAAGTGCTGTAGCACTTAAGGACACTGAGCAGGTGGTGTGATTTTGGTCTTTCCCGAGGTACTAAGTGTGCCTGATCTTTCGGGCCATGCTGTGACACAGCCCACACGTCCCTTAATGTTTCGCTGTTTCTTATTCGTGTTTATGTCATCTCTAGCTATTACAGAGAACCCCACCAAACTGTGCACTGAAAAAATGCCAGTGCAAAAATGTATGCTTATTTTCTCCCATCTCTCAGACACCTGCATTTAGGCATGGGTGCTGTGTATAAGAGCAAAAACATTCATACATTTTCAGTTGTTTTTTTCTATGTAATCAACAAATTTTCTTTTTTTTTGTCCTTTAGAAGAACGTTGGCGAGAATAGAATTCATGAATTGTTTTTAAATGGTAAGCTGAAATGTCAGGCTGGTAACAACAAAATCATAGAGAGGTTTCTTACCAGGAAAATGCAGACGCTTCTTTTGCAGATGCTAATATTGGTAACTCTAATAACTATTAATGCATAAAATAAATATACTGATGCAGCAAGTGTGTCTACTGTAGGTCTGATGGTTGAACAATAGGCATTTGGCATCTTCAGAAATTTTGCTTGGTCACAACCTTGATGCAAACTAATATCATGCTGTTGTTATGTTTATAAGCTTTTATTAGTGCACTAGGGGCGCCTTTAAGTCAGAATGCCAGTGACCCCAAGGATCACTCATAAACTGATGTTTCTACACAATTTAAACCCACATGGGTTAATACAAACTCCTGGCAGTTATGCAGTTATGAGCACAAACATTCTCCCTTTATTTTAGTGCTTTACTTCCGTAACACATCTAATCCGTGGAATTTCAATCTTGCCTGAAGTTGCTGCCAGGATATGTGGGCTAGTCTATGCCAAACGCATTCAGAGGACATTCTGATCTAGGTGGCAGCCGAATTCTAAGTGAATCTCACATTTACACTAGTGGCCAAAATCGTGGAAACACTTCCAATTGTTAGAGATCACAGAACCTCATTCCAGTTACTCCAGTTACTTATTTAATCGTCCAGTGTATGATATTTATAAACATTCTTTGATTGTTCATAAGCACTACCGCCAATATTTGTGTAGCGATTGTTAAAGTGTAGTGCCAAAACTGCTAGGTATTTCACTAGTGTGTGTATCAGGCTCCACTTTGAATTATCTGTACACTATGCATGCATATAGACGATGATGTATCGTTTATCTTAGCGGCAATGTAAAGATGCTGCCTCCAGGCTTCCCTGTTGTCTGCCGATTGCGTGTCGACCTTTGCCCTGCACAAAAACGCCGTGGACGGTCAGCTGGAAAAGGTCGGTTTCGTTGGCCTGGCCAGCCCGGCGATACCACGCTCACCTAGAGGGTGTCACCAGCCCGTGACGAAAACTGAAGCAGTGGCCAGACTGTATTATAAGCAGGAGGCCCCACCGTTTTCCATCGCATTGTTCCTTAATGGACTGCTCACGATTGTGCCAACTTAATGGATGGACTCTTCCTTCCTCTCCTGTAGGACCTTCTTAAAACCTTTCGCAGAAACCGAGCCTCTAACCCCCACCTCTCTTTTAAATAAAACCAAGGGAAAATAGCCTATTTTCTAAAACCTTTTACTATGAATATTCTGTATTTACCAGAAATATATTCCCTCTTTTTTCTGGATCTGTATTCCATACTATTCCACCGCTAAACTGGCCACTGTGCCCTCCGGATCTAATACATGCTGCAGTTCATTTGCAAAACGGAGGCCTGATTAATGAATGGGGCTTGGCAGTTTGAATGCATTTTATTACTCCTGAATGCTATCTGAAAGGAGAACTATGTCAAGTATGTAAAGGAGACCAGATACCGCATGAAGCATTGAATCTTGTTGTCAGCGATTTAACACTTAAAAAAAAAAAAAAAATCCTCTTCTCTTGCAGGCAGCAAGGAGGCCGCCTTCACCTATGCCATCATCGCCGCCGGCGTGGCGCACGCCATCACCGCAGCCTGCACGCAGGGGAACCTGAGCGACTGCAGCTGCGACAAGGAGAAGCAGGGCTTCTACAACCAGGAGGAAGGCTGGAAGTGGGGGGGCTGCTCTGCGGACATCCGCTACGGCCTCAACTTCTCCAAGGTGTTCGTGGACGCGCGGGAGATCAAGCAGAACGCCAGGACTCTGATGAACCTGCATAACAACAGGGCTGGACGGAAGGTACGGTGCCCACTTCTGTTGCTGCATTATTGGCTGGCTTCAAACAGCTCAGAGCAACCTGTATGTCTATAATGTCATTAGGGGAGTTCTCTTATATATGACTCACTCATCTAATACAGTCCCGCTAGACAGCAAATATTAGTTTGCTGCATGTGAAGTGAATTTCACTGAGAGCAGTGTGTGGCCAGATTCAAAGTGATCCCCGGCTCACTCTCCTAAAGTGAGTTATTTTGTTAGGTTTCATCATCCAGAGGTGTGGCAATCAACACATCCTGTGAAGAAGGACTTTAGAAATAGTGTAGGCTGTGAGCAAGATTGATTTATACAGTAGAAATCAAACGAAGCCGATTGGAAAAACACACTTGCAGAAATAATAGCTGAAGTCAAGTCCTTGAGATGTTTAGAGTAGCCTGCTGCTCTGAGCTCTTTAGCATGGTGTACTTGTGTCTCCCAGGTGCTACGGCGTAGCGATTAGCGGGCTCTCTGCAAACAGGCTGGCTTTCTAACTGCAAGATTTGCAGGATGCAAGATTTCTTGCTGTTTTCCGATCTTGTTCGGGTCCTGTTTATGGGTGGGTTATAATTGTCAACTAGCTCACAAACAGGACAATAACAAACTTTATGTTTTTTTTTTTTATTTTATGCTTTTTGTTTTTTAAAAAAAGTTTTAATGATACATAATTACATTATGAGAACAGCTTATCAGTTTATCAGAGCTTTTCTAACATGACAAACTTTTATGCTTGAATTTATATGGGAATTGTCCTTTTATAGAGCTGTAGAAAGCTGGGTGTATGTAGCTGAGTGTTTTTCTCAGGGGTTCAAAGGCAGAACCTCTCTTTGGGGCTGAACCTTTTTTTAGGAAGCCCTGAAGCACTGCACTACATATAGCACAAAGTCTCCCAGCCAGCATGATGCCACAGCCTACCCCAAAGTCTTTTTAAATGGAAAACAACTATCTTTTATTGCACTTACTGAATTGATTACACCAATGAGACAACCCCCCCTCCCCGAAAAAAAAAAAAATGCAAAGATAAACGAAGATGAAACTAGAGCAGAACGAGTTAACGGCCGCAGGAATTGCGCTGTAACCTTGTTGTGATTTGTAAATCCCTACCGTGCCCTCGGGCTGGGAACGTCTGCCAAGGATATGGGCAGTCAGACAAAGATTAAGGAGAGTTAGGGTAACGAAATACTGGGAGGCTTTCAGAGGTGGCCATGTTAGTGGCAGAGTTTGATTACACAGCAGATCTGTGTGAGGCGCACACAATGATACTGTAAAAGAAGAGCATTACAGCTCTCATACTGTAGTGCTGTCACAGGAGCAGCCAGCCACACATTCTGATAATCCTTCACTCTGCGGCTCTCATTGTTACCCACTGCCGAGGTGTAACTGGATGCTGCGAAAGTCGCACCGTTTTGCGGACAGTCGCCGTAAGAGCTTATCTGGCATTTAAAGCAGCTTCGGCTCCGATTAACCGCAGGTCCATGAAGACATACAGGCCTAGATGTACACTTTGATCGATTGAAAGGATTGATGACAGGCCAACGTCCGCCCGGCGTTCGTTAACGTAATGCGTTTCCTCTATTTGTTTATGCCATGGTTGGAATGAATGCCAAACGGTGATTCTGTCGTCACTAGTATGAAAATATACAGAGGAAAATGATAGCTGGCACTGCCAGTGATCGTTGTGCCATTGGCTAAACTGCTGTTTATCTTTTGCATCTAGTATTCATGGGAAACTGACGATCAGGAGGTTGCTCTTAATTTAAAAATAGCGATATAAATTTTTTGATTCACGACGGCAAAAATGCAAGATAATCGGGAACACAAAGAGCCGGTTCTTTCTTCAGGGTACATGCATAAACGTCAGTAACCCAGTGATGAATAAAATACGATGATATAATGTTTCGGGTGGAGTTTAATTGTCAAAAGTTTAGATAGTAATGTGTTTGTATTTTATTAAGGCCGTTCAGCTGCTCCTGGCTAATTGCCTTTCAGAGGGTCTCGGCGGAGTCTGATATTTATGCAGGATTTAGTGGGATAAAGACATTGCTCTGTCCTGGCTATAAAGCGGCTCTGTTTCCGTCTCCAGTGTGGGGCATCCCGTTTCTGGGCACCCCTCCCCCTCATACGCACACCCCCTTTGCATTTCTATACATTCACACTTCGCTAATGCCCACCATTTGTTAGCAGAGAGCCGCCGCTCTTCTGTTTTCCCCCGATGGCTGCATCCGTCCCGGTATTCCTGCAGATCGGTGATTCAGTCTGGCAGCTGTGACCCGGAGCACGCAGACGGAGATTGAGGTTGAGAACATTTCAGCACTCTGGACAGAGCTTTTGTGGGGGGGGGGGGGGTGACTGACCCCAAAGGATTCACATTAACTTCTGTTTGAGAAGCATTCACCCTTACCCCCCTTTCCTGAAGCAGGGCTTAGGGTGCCCTGCTCACCCCCAACCCCCATGCAGTCAAAAGTTTGTGGAATGGAAGCTCAGGGCTGCACTGGGCCTTTATTAGTCATACTTAGAGTGTTGCTGTAAAACACGTGAACCTAGTGCTCATATTTAGGACAAAACTGGTAAATGGAGTATGGAGTCTGCTCCATTAAAGCACTGTGAAATCTGATATTTTTAGGAACTGGAAAAATAGACCGATTTGGTCGCCACCAGAGGTGACCTTATTAAAACGGACATGAATAGTTTCTACAGCGCTCTGTATTGCCATAGGGAAGATGGTTTATGTAGTTCATGCTGCTATTGTACTGCACAAAAATAGAAGGATAAAAGTTAAGTTTTATTTGCATGCATGGCAGGAAATTGTTCTTGAGACTACAGAGAGACTGGGAGTGACACAAAACGGAATAATTAAAACTTGGGCAAATCCAGCCTAATGTGCAATGGTTCCTACTCAGTGAAGAGGAAAGTATCCGAGATGGTGCCATTCCTCATTCTGGCAGGGACAGCTCATTTGCATAGCCTCACACACATCTCTGATCACGCCACCCGAGTGCCGCCCGCTTTCGTCCAACCAATGAGGTCGGGCTTCGCTCCCGGCCGCTCACGGCAAATTCTGCACCCTTGAAGGTAGTTCAGATTACGGCGATTGGCTTTTATAGCTGCATAACAAGTACCGGGTATCATGGATTTACTCAATCGCGCAAAAACAAAATAAAACAACAGAAAAGGGCACAGGACAAACATTTTTGATTTTTTTTTAAAATTAATTTTAATTAATGTTTTCATTTTCAAGGAAAGTGTTCCTCTGTAAAAGCTGGTATCATAAGTTATTACTGGCTGCTGAAAAACCAACAATGGCCCTGTTTATATAATCCCTGATAAGTCTTCCTGTGTGGAAAGAGGTCTTTGAAGCATATCTTCCAAAGTTAAAAACATTGCATCATACCACGTTTTGCCTTTATCCAGACTAGACAGAGGGATACCCTCAACTGAACATGGGGCCCTGAAATATGATGCTACGGATTTATCTGTGTACAATATACACTGGGCTATTGTTACTGGGTACCGAGAGATCGTCTTTCACACAGTGTATTTCAGGTTACCCCGCTGATCCTCGCACAGAACAGTCATTCAGGCTTCAGCCACCTGTAGTATTTCCCTGCTCTTTTTAAAATGGTATTAAATGGGTTTTTTTAATAAAAATATATATATTTTACTAAATTAGTTGCTCCTTTCTGAATTGCAGCAATGAATTGCTCACTTCAGTACGGGGAATTAAAAAATAAGATTCAGTCTGCAAGATTATTTAAAATCCGATGACACTATTGCTAAACCAAATAAAATTGTTAGTAATGAAAAATGATTGTGGAAGAAAATGTAACATGACCTAGGAATGATACTCTGAAGATTCATAACAGTGCAGGAAGGCATATTTTGAGGCTGGATGCATGGTCTGCTGGAGGTGCTAAGTACCGTTAGGGCAGAAGCTGGTGGCTGATGTTTTCCTGTCGTCTCCATGCAGATCCTGGAGAAAAACATGCGACTGGAGTGTAAGTGCCATGGGGTGTCGGGCTCCTGCACCACCAAGACGTGCTGGACCACGCTGCCCAAGTTCCGGCAGCTGGGCTACATCCTGAAGGACAAGTACCACCAGGCGGTGCACGTGGAGCCGGTGCGGGCCAGCCGCAACAAGCGACCCACCTTCCTCAAAGTCAAGAAGCCCTACTCCTACCGCAAGCCCATGGACACAGACCTGGTCTACATCGACAAGTCACCCAACTACTGCGAGGAGGACCCGGTGACAGGCAGCGTGGGGACGCAGGGGCGCATCTGCAACAAGACGGCGCCGCAGACCAACGGCTGCGACCTCATGTGCTGCGGGCGCGGCTACAACACGCACCAGTACTCGCGCGTCTGGCAGTGCAACTGCAAGTTCCTGTGGTGCTGCTATGTCAAGTGCAACACATGCAGCGAGAGGACAGAGGTGTACACGTGCAAATGAACACCTGCGTGCACTGGCGGGGTCGCTCCTCACTCGCGTGCATTACTGACATGTTTCTGCTGCGTCGCGGGGAAACGGGAGAAGAGGAATCGCTTGCACGTGATCACTCTGCGTCTGATCCCGGGGTGATGCACCTCGATTCTGAAACGAGCCAGAAACTGGTTACCCTGGGAATCAGAAGACGGGCGCTGCTGTTTACGTGATTTGCTGAGGATGAGTCGACACAGCAATGTCGCCTTGCCAGCCTGATGGATCGACAGCACGACCATCAGTCCTGCTGCGAGACTGTGGGCTCACACGCATCCTGGAGGTCTCGCACTCTGGGCTGCACTGCTTCAGACGAGCCTTTGGGCTTCCAGCGTTCAAACTGGACTGTCCTCTGTGTCTGATCCTTCAGCTGCGGAGCCCCTATTTTTTCCACCAATTACTAATTTCCAGCGCATATACACATGGGACATGTGGGGAGAAGCTGTATATTTCCTCAGCATGAACTAAACAAAGCACGTAATTGTGATATTTAACTTTTTATTTAGATGCAAAAAAAAAACCTAATATTAATTTATTTAAGGAAACTACTGATTTTATTTTCGTTCCTTTCGATACGGGACTTTTCTAAACTGAATAGATCTAGGGAGCTTTTTCTCTCAAGTGTTTGCTGATGGAAACTGAACAAAGACAGCATCAACAAACGAAAGACAGCATCGCAATTTTACAAACGAGCAAGACACTGGATTATGTACATAAAAAAACACCTTTATTACTACTGTAATATAATGTGGTGGCAAATAGTATTGTTACAGGTCTAACTGGTAATGCTTAGATTTTTCTAGAAACATTCTTCCCCTCTGTATGCTGCTAGTTGTCTGGAAAATCGAATTGGCTGTGATTTATAAAGAGAAAAATAGACTTTGTTACTTGGCAACAGTAACTCAATGCTAATTATTTTTTAAAGACACCAGAAGCAAAGCTGATCATTCAGACTAATTTCCCTTTCCTGGGAATCCTTAGTTCAGAGAGTATATTTTGTAAGAGATTATTTTTATATGAATATTTTATTTATATAATTTCATCTTGTATAATTCAGTATCACCCCGATCCCTTCCTTAAAACTATTGCTGTGTGGAGTTTCAAAGAGCATTTCACAAGCACAGCCTTACATTTACACATGAACTGGTTTTGTCATGTGCTGTGAAGCATTCGTTGGACCTGCTGAGACTGTAAGTGTGTACAACTTTGCTTGTTTACCTTGAAACAGAATATCACACAATAAATGAACAGGGTATGTGGTAATGATTGGCGTGATATCAACACTATCTTCAAAAAAGTCCAAAACAAGCAAATAGACATTTTAAATTTCAGTATTAGCTTTCATCACTGTCTAGAGAACAGTAAAAACTCGCTAACTGAATATTTGGGGATAACACTGTATGACCAAAGAGAAATAAATATAGAACATTTTTGAGTGAAAGAAATTCAGATGCAGACATTTTTTATGTTCACCTAATTTATACTCATAGAATTTGATTACAAATATAATTTGCCACACCCATTCCACATCACATTTCAAATGTTTCAAACAGTGTTAATAAAAGTCAGCTCGACAGTATCAAATTTCTCTTATCCTCAATCATAATGTAATTAGCAAAGTACCACAAGAAGTGGCAATGAATGTTTTTTAATTTGTTACCTGAAATCGTTGGGTGGCTTGCTTACAGCTTGAACAAACTTCTTTAACACTGTGGAGAAAGGTTAACATTTTAATTAATTGACATTAACATTGTTAATGTGCTTGGTCAATAAAAAGTGAGAAAAACGCCATTTGTGTTTATATGAAAGGGTTGCAGGTCACAATCAGCACAAATACTTTTAATAACTCCTTCCCTTACTAGTTAGGTCACATTTGCTTTTGTTTTATCAAGATTGAAAGTTAAAGTGATTTATTGTGCCTGTGCTGCAGAAGTATCCAGGAATCCAAACAGAATGTTTATCTGCTACTTCCTAGAGAACAAGAATTTATATTGTCTGACATTCAAGCTTCCTTGTTTTTAATCTGTGACGAAGGAATATTCAATACATATTGAATAGTGGGGACATGCTTGCTGTTTAGGTAATTTATTAAATTTAATTGTGTTATATATAACCATAAAATTGTGATATAATTGATAACAAGACACAATAAGTAGTCATTAGTGCACCCTGAAAAATGTGGCACGTAATACCCAGGGGCAAAGTGTTAAATGCCTTAGAACGGGGAACTCGTAAAACATGTCTGAAAGGCTGCAGGCCTGATCCATTTCAAATTTAAAAGCAAACATCTCCAGGGAAATAACATATTTCTTACATTTTGGTGATCTAGAATACCAAAAAAAAAAAAATGCAACTTAACTTACTGAGGGCTGACAGGCTAATAGCTAGGCATAGCGAACAAAGAGAACTCATGAGGGAAGATGGAAAGTGTTAGCATTGAACGGTCAGCTATTGAAGAAGCTTAATTGATGATTACTGTGCCGAGGGGTGTCAAAGCGATGACTTGCTCGAGCAGGAGGAGTGAGAGCTGTCGGATGATAGATTGTTTTCCTTCCCCCTGCTTCTGACACTCTGACATCTGTTTCATTCACTCCCCAGCCTGCGTTGCTACAACAACGGAACTGAGCTTCAGAAAATGTCCCTGAGTCTCCCAGAGAAGCCAGACTACCCATTAGCAAAATGTTAACTATGCAAAAACCAGATAACTTAGGGACACTCTTTATTTTGTCTAAAAGGGAATAAAGGAAGGAGGGGAAAAAAGGAAAGCTCTGTTATTGTGAAGGATGATGTCAAGAGGGATTTCTTTCCAAGTGACAGAAAAGATCTTAGCTCATGGAATAATCTTTACAAAACATTCCTTTACTTTGCATCAATAGACGCCCGCATGAGAAAGCCAGCTGCCCCAATGGCTTTGGTTAAATTAAAACTAAGGTTTTGGCGCTAACTAACAGTTGCATTGCACTAGCTTTTCAACATTGTGGGAAGAGTCTTTTCTGATTTTTTTTTTTTTAGCTTTAATAGGTCTGGTCATTTGAACACTGTGTCCCAGTTGCTAGATTTTTATGCTTAATATTCTTCTGAGATCTTAAGTATTACATGCATCCATCTTTATCCGCTTATTTGGTCAGCGGCATAAATATTTTTTCTTCTTAAAAAGCTTTTGAAAAAGAGATGCTTCGAAAACTCTTACATGCCCCTATTCAGAGTTTCTGAATGAATGCCATTCCTAACGCTCCCGTAGAGCTGTGTGATTTTGTTTGTTTTTACACTTGGCAAGAGGCTATCATAGCAAGCCGCTCAATAGCTTTGTACATTGCGTAAGGCCTTTAATCACAGAGAGACACAGACACGGACAATTGACTTTGCCCCGAAAAGCCTGCAATCTGTGTGAATGCTGCAGTTTACAATATGCACATCATCCATGGCCTCACCATCTCTCCAGCGTTCTTCGGCTGCTGTCCAGGTGAAGTGTCCGGCCAGGTGAACACCACTGCAAGAGAGACCATTATACCCAATTCTGCAGTACAGCTCACTCAAGGTCAGTCCCTTAGACCAGTGTTTCCCAATCCGGTCCTAGGGGACCCACAGTAGGTCCATGTTTCTGCTCCCTCCAAGCTCTCTGCCAAACAGTCCACATTTTGGAGCTGGGAACGAGCAAAATGTGGGCTGTCTGCGGTTCCTAAGGACCGGATTGTGAAACTGCCTTAGACAGTGCCCTTCAAGATCGAAACTGCAAACGCCACCAGCGACTCATTGAAAGACTAATTAAATTCTGCAATGTTTTCCGATAAACATTACAGGTGCTCCTAAATCATTCAGTGATCTGAGGTGCGGCTTTTATCTGATACAGCTGTATTTACTAACATACGTTTCATTACCCTTTCAGAACACACCAGAGTACACCTGGATTCAGACAGTCGTGGTAGATTTATGGCAGTGAATCTCTCTTGTTTTGTTGATGCTGGATTCCTGCCATCATTTTTTGCATTTGTGCATATTGCCTGTTGTTTCCAAATCAAACTTCCTGTCAAGCACCTTGTGTATGATGTGTATAATGTAATTTTTTTTGTCCTGCACTTACTCTGCTGTCTCTGTGACTTATTGAAATTCCACAACAAAATCAAAATGTAGCAGTTATACGTTTTTGTTTTTTTCCTCAAAAATTAATTTAACCCGAAATCTACATGCAGTGTTAATCTAATAATGCAAGGAGTCAATAACATTTCTAAAATAATTTAAATGTCTGGGCTTGTAATTAAAAAGGATCCCTTATAAATGTTCCTCAGTGTTGATCGGTACCCGGGTGCCAGGTGCCGTTTAATCTGTGGTTATTGCTCTTTCCAGGTCCTTCCCCTGCAATGGAACACACTAAATAGCTACCATTAATATGCCAGCCATATTATAGGAGTTTATAATGACTTCTATGAAGCAATAACTCTTTGTTAGGAACGACACGGCAGCATAAGTGGGAGCCAAAGAATTCACCAGAGGAGGCATTCAGGAATTAGCAAGGGTGAGGCCTACTGCATATCTGATGGTACCTCAGCAAACCAGATGCTCGCGCCACCTCACCTTTCTTAGAGTGTGGCTTCCTTGTAAATCTCCCCTGTACTCCCTTGTACTCCGCCTAGAAATCAGTGAATAGGGTTCCTGCTAAATGGCAGCATTTAGTAGGCTTGCTGCTAAATGCTAACGTTTTTAGGCTCACTGTTAAATGCTAGCGTTTAGTAGGCTCGCTGCTAAATGCTAGAATTTAGCTAAAAGCTAAGTGCTGAAAACAGGTTTGTAAGCCCTTTCATCTCTTAGATGCCACTAATAAACTCAATGCAGAAAACGTTACAGACAGAATACCCATATACTACTGGTGACGTGTCAAAACTCACGTCAGAACATGTCTCTTTCCATGAACTAAGTGAAGAACTGTTTTCTAAAAATATGGTAAAACGCCTGAAATGTCGCATTCAACACTCAAACACACCTACCCATTGGGAAGAAGTAAAGCTGAACGCCAACCAAAGTGACTGGATGTACGATACAAAACAAAACAATAATTAGATAGCTGAAGTAGGGGGGTTGGGCTGAGAAAAGGGGCTTTCTTCATTTAGCCATAAATCATCTGACACATAATTCCATCAATTATATTTTCTCCTCTCTGGCTGAGACATGTACAATCAGCACCTGACTATTGCACGGTAAATTGTACAGTGCGCTCTTTGAAAGCCTGCCAGCGTTTGATGCTGCCGTCCAAGGAGCGTGGCTACGGGAAGATCTGCTATTAAGACAAGAGGAAGTCATGGAGCATCCACTTCCTCTGACAAGTCCTCCTATCTTTAACAACAAAAAAAAATCAGCCCAGTACTGATGGAAACCACCCCTTACTGTAACACTGAACCCCCAAATGGGTGCAAACGGGGGAAAGTGGCCGATTCCCATCTAGGGATGCAGGACGATCTGCGGCGGCTGCACGATCTCACCGTGCTCCTGGTGACGCCCCGTGAGTGTGTCCTTCTGAGGAGCTCTGGCAGTCCAAACAAAACACTTACGGTTTAAATCTCTAAAGGTATGTTATCGGGGAAATGTTTTTAAAAAATAAGAGGATTGCGAGTGCTTTGGGGGAGATTAAATGTGACTTTGTTGACACTGGCCGGCCGGTGGAATGCAGACTTGTTTTTACGGTGGTTGATGTGCCACCCATGTGACACATTGTTTTCCTGGCACCGGCTGAGATGCATTATGGTGGTCCCCCATACCCATCCGTGTCACCTGAGCTAAGCTCACCGTAATCTACAGACCCTTCAGGAATCTTAACTTGAGGTCTTCTTTCCTTTTACAAAAACAGAACTCTCGTGGTATCCCTCAAGGCTGAGAAATAAACTGGAATTATTGTTGATCCTTCCTCCTCAGGCTTAGATAACAGTGGGAACAACTAGCCAGAGCAATTACTTCTCTGGTACATGGAATATGATAATTATATCAGAAGCAGTGTTTTTTTAACACTTAATACATATGAGAGTACATATTTCAGAGAAGTTCTGACAGAAATGTTTAACTTAAAGATTCCCTATGTGTGAATATTTTGTAGAACAAAACACAGGTCATTGTAATTTTTCATAATGAATAGGGTTTGTTTCAGCTGATAGAAACTAATTAAAAAGCTTAATTATTATTATAATACAATAACAGTAAAAGTATAATTAGTTTAGTATAATATGTTCTATTCTTATTTACATAATACACATAATATGTGGTGGACATAACATATTAACCCAACCTAAAGCATGCAAACCCTGTAGGGGGCTGCTTTGGGATGTATTTATTTAATAGTTTGCTCCGATGGGGAAACAGCCTGCTCCACAGATCACGAGAGCCCCACCTCCTTCACCTTCCCTATCGCTGCCCCCCCGAGGCCCCCCTCCTCAGATCATGAGTACCCCTCCTCTTTCGCCTCAGATCATGAGTACCCCTCCTCTTTCGCCTCAGATCATGAGTACCCCTCCCTGTGCGGCTCACATCATGAGTGTCCCGCCTCCTTC